TTCAGAGGTCTCCTGGCTCTAAATCATTACTTTAATCTATGAATATTCACAAAGCGAGATGGAGTGAGTGACAGAGCCCTGTTATGGCGGGCATCTCAGAGCCAAGCTGGCAACTGCATTTTAAAGCTGACATAAGTGCTTGGGGCCTCTCAGATGGCCTTCGTCAGGAACCCTCCTCTTCAAGTCGACTTCCACTTGACATCAAAAAGCTTTTGTTCCAATGCTCCAGGAACTTGTAATACATGTTTATGTGCTCACATTAGTTTATCCACATGTGCTTTTATACATTATGTTAATGGCTTATAAATTGTGCAAAAACACTTCTGGAGGTGCCACAGAAGACCTGAAAAATGTTGGATTTAAATATAGGTTTTAAAAATACAATGAATCTACCACATTTTGACATATCAGAGATACCAAGTTATTTTACCACAGGTTCTCCCTTATATTGCACAAGTAGTTGAACTGAAATTGACAAATTGTCTAAAAAGTCATCGTTTTTAATTGGTCTTTTGTATTGTATATTTTTAAAAAAAATATACAAATACACACACATATATGGTAGAGACTGGGAAATACAGCACACACAGCAAGATCCACATATGCCTGTTCATCATGGTTTCATAAAGACCTAACTGGGAATTGTACACAAAGCATCATGGGCTAATGCCTCTCAGTACAGTCCTGTCTTTGTCATTTTGGTCCTCGGATTAAGCATTATCATTTTACTCCGTAGAGTAACACTTCTGCACTACAGCTGTAAAACTTAGCGTTAAGTTATATTCTGGCAATCTGACTTTCATAAGAATGTGAGCTGTATTTAGTGATTTTTGATCATAAACTTGAAACCAAATTTATTTGTTTCAGTCTTCTTTTAGATACACTCTGTCTAGCAGTCCCAGGACAGTGCAAAGTGTGTTATTTACAAATTGTTATCATAATATGAATAAATTGGGATTTTTCCCAGCAATCAAACTAAATGAAGATATCATATTAATAGAAGTTGATATCACAACTTTGCCATTCATAATACTTACTCTCATTTTCCCTATATAAACAGTCACATTTTTTTCCCTGATGACTATGTAAGCACATGCTGTTTAAAATACAGTCAGAGCTGGAACATTTCACATCACTTACTCTTCTTCTACCTTCTACCTTCATAATCCTCTCCTTTAAATAGTTTTAGGAGAACTGCCCCTATTATTCTCCTGCTCTTCCCTCCTTAAACCCCTCTAGCCCATTTTCAACGCCTAAGGTGTGGAATTGTCTGATCAGAATCCTTTAATAATTCCCTATTTAATTAGAATAAAAGTCAAATTCCATCCAATTATGCACAAGGACCTTCACAACTGGGCACCATGTCATTGTGTAGACCCACCTCCCCCTCCCATCACCCTCACATTCCCAGAAGCTGCACTGACTTTCTCAGGACTCCTCACTCACATTAGTACCCTTGAGAAGCAAGGTCTTGCCTTTAGCTATTCCTTCCTCCTCAAGTGCTCTTTGCTTCCTCATGGCCAAAGTCTATGAGTAAATGCTATATTCAGAACCAACCTTCGCAGACAATCTTTAGTGTAAATCATGCTCCTTGTCTCCAAGTTTGTGTATTTCTGCAGTGCACTTGTCACCATCTAAGATAGCTCTTGTTCAAATTCGGTTTTGCTTCATCAAATAGAGGCAGAAAATCGTATTTACTTTACTCACGCCTATACCCCAGAATCAGAGGCCATGGCCTTTCCAGTCACTTGCTGTGCATCTGAGAACTGGACAATGAATAGGAATGACAGAAGAAGAATTGAGGCTTTTGAGCTGAGGTGTTGGAGAAGAGCACTGAATATCCCATGGACGGCCAAGAGAACAGATACATCTGGGATAAGGTACAGCCAAAGTGCTCTTTGGGGGCAAGGATGGTAAGACTTCGTTTGCCTACATACTTCAAGCATGTTGGTAGGAAGGGCTATTTCTTGCAGAGGGATTTAATGCTTAGAGAGGGTCAGAGAAGGAGAGGAAGACCCTCAACTAGGTGGGTGGGTTCTCTGCTTGTGACTGCCGCTATGGGCTCCAATGTTTCAGGAAGGGTGAGGATGGCACAGGATAGGACAGGGTTCAGATCTGTCATCCATAGGGTTACTATGATTCATATTCAACTCAATGGCACCTAACAACAACAACAACATACCCCAGAAGATTTTGAACAGTAACTAGTGCAAAGTAGCCAGCCACATAATGAGTGATAAAGACTAAATTTGAATATACAACAAAATTCATACTAATAAAATACCACATTTAACTGTCTTTTTTTTTTAAAAAAAAAGCACTTCTATTTTAAGATTCTGTTTATTCAATAAAGTTTGTCTGCTATAAAAAGTTGTCAAAATGAACCCATCTGTGGTAATAAACATAATACCCAAGCAAACATTAATGGCGCTGACACAAGTTAATATATGAAATTTATAAGTCCTTTTGATAAAAAAGTCTCTTGTTATCTATTTGTAAAGTCTATAAAACCACAGAAACAAAAGCAACACGTCAAACTTATGGCCTTTGAGTGGGAATCAACTCATAGCCTCCCTTCAGAGGCTGTAAATCACATGGGAGGATATCACCCATCTTGACTGCCATGTGGATTCTAGCTACCAGAGAGAGTCTGTGGGTAAGCAATGTTACTTCTATGGAATACACCGCCAGAGCTCACAAATAACAATATGAAATCCTCCAGAGGAATTCTTTCATCTCCTATCTTGTCACTTTTGTTTATATTCTAAACTTGAGAAAACATGGGCAGGTCCCCCAGGGCTTTCTGAAACCTCCCTCTCTTTTTCTCTCTCTTTCATTCTGATACATAATCTCCACTTCCATACAAGCACAATTGACTGTTGTTAAATGCAACAGACTTTTCAGTCACAGCAAAGATTCTTTTGAGTATTTATATGAATATATGCTTGCTATATAAAATTTATTTTATGACATTAAAATTAGTACACTGCACAGGCACTATGGAGCTGTTATAGTCACAAACAATTCTACCTTGAAATTATTAAAAATGTACGAAGCTCAACTGCACTTTATACAATTTATATAAAAGTCAACTAGGAGATGTTTTATTTCTGGTTTTAGTCTGATGATTTAATGAGAATATAATCTTGTGCACTTCAAAATTTAAAGAAAGTATATTTTCATCTAAGTATTGCAAGAAAGCATGTTAAAATAGAGACTATTTTTCAATAAAATTACAAAACATTTGTGCATCATAAAGTTATGAGCAGAAAAACAAGCACCCACAGAGTCAACCAAATATAAAAATTGATCCATTCTTCTGATCGGTACCAGTCTGTACTGAAAGGAAATTGCAGCTTGGCAGGATTCTAGACACCAATCTGAAAACAACATGTTGTATCTTAATACTTTTAAAATCATAGTCTATGTTTCTTTTCCCAAGAATATACATTAATTCTTATTTCTTTATGTTGTGACCTTAACCATCACTATCACTATAGTTTCTGTACTCTGTTCTTTGGTAAACTAATCCATTGCTATAAAATACCAGTACTCCTCCATCTAAAACCAGTTTATACATATAATTTGACAGAAGCTATTCTGTTATGAAACAGCAACAATAAACAGAGAATTTCAGATTTCATAAGCATCCACGCATGATAAATCTGCGATTCAAAACATTCACTCATGGCTTGGAAAACCAGTGATCAACATTTTGGTCTGTACCCTAAAGAATTCTGTAGACTAAACTAATAGAAAATGTTGGCTATGCAGGGTCTCACACAGAAATCCTCAGCAGCAGTATGGAATCACCATATTTATCCACCCACACCTTATTTTTTTGTGTGCTGAAAACGAGCAGGACTTCCAAAGTCAAAGAATCTGGTTCAAAGAAAGGATTCTTTTTTAAAGGATATTCTCATGAAACCTCTTTTGATTTTCTAAAACCAATTTTTTTTGAGAGTGCAGGAGGAGCAGCACAGTCCCGGAGTTCCTGGGCTGTGTGCCCCTTGAGGTGGGGTAAGTGGGAAGGACAAGCATCACGGTGCTCTCAGCACTACACCAGGGTAGTCCCATACTACCCAGCATGTGCTTCAAAAACTAAGCAGATTTTCAGTGGGTCTGTTACCTACTGGACTAATACACAGAGTATTCCTTCACTGTGTAATATATAAATCATTTTTTTCTATTTTACATTGAATGTTGTAACAGCCAGGAATTAACACTACAAGGAACTATTGTAAGCTCTGGGCATTTTCAACACCACCATCCTACGATTGAATGGCATGGATCGAATCAACAGAAGTGTAATTCAGATGTATTCAATCTCCTTCTTGTCATTCTCAGGGATACAACAATCATCACATTTCATAACTGCAGGAGACCATGGCTACTCTGTGTGCTGACACACCACTAGCATTATTAACACCTACCCAAAACTTGGCACCTGGTTCTCATCCGAATTTTCACTCCACAACCATTCAACAAAGTTCCTCTAAGTCTTAGGAGGAGCGAGGACTACCCCATTTCAGTACAAACGTTTTTGGACGTAGTATATTTACTAATGCTTTTCAGGGATGAGGAGTCTGCTGGGGTTTAAAAGTCCTCTTTGTAAGAGAAATCTGAGCGCATCTCAGTTATATCTGCCAATTATTCACTTTGAGCAATTCAAACTTTACTTACATCAAACTCAGCCACTGAAATGACTAACAAAGCGTCACTCAAGTAAAAAGCCAGAATCTTCCTAAGATTTAACTCTCAAATAACTCATTCCACGCTAAAAACAGGCTCTGGAAGGAAATCAGAACACAGAGGTTCCCAAAGCCCTTCTCTGGTCGCACTTGGCCCTTTCTAAGGCACACTTGCCCACCTCTCCAACCATGGATGGATTCAGAGTGACTGGCGCAAGGGAGGGGTTGGTGGTAAGGGCGCACAAGAAGGGCGCATGGGAGAGCGCGCAGGCTGGCGAGGGCGCAAGGGAGGGTGCGCGCAGCACTTACATTGTTCATGTATTCGCTGAGCAGGTCCTGCAGCGCCTGACGCACCGCGTTGCACTCCGCCACGATCCTCTCACGCCGGTCATCCCGCGTGCAAGACGAGTCCGCCATGAGAGCTGCACCACTGATGATGCTCTCCAACCTCTCCTCCAGGGATGGCCTGAACCGGGCCTCACTGAACGTCATGGGGTCCAGGATAATCTTGTTCTGAAAGGGTTAGAATGCAAAATCAACACAAGTCTGCCTTTGCAACCTGTTTTGTAAACCAGTGATATCACAAGCAAGCAAGAGCAAAACTCCCCGTGAGGAGAAACGGCTTCGTTAGATAAATTATAAAGCAGCCTTGACCAAGTAGCAACTCTTTCTGTGAAGCATTTTGCCCTGAATCTAATCTTCTGGTATAAAATAGAACGTCTTGTTTGAAGAACATGTTCTTGGCAAAGACTTTTTCAGTCTTTATCAGCCAAATTGCAATATTGTTGTTATTGTACATGAAACTCATTCATCGCTGACCTTGAGCAGCTGGTGGATTCCAACCACGTGCCTTGGGGTGGGTAGTGCAGCACCTTCCCAGCTGCTCCAATCTTACCACATCTAATTGGTAAAAATTGCCAGTCTTATAATAGCTCCTTAAATTGTGCTAGTAGGCTAATTTTTTAATGCACCCCCCCTCCCCGAAGGATAGCACGTTTCAATGTAGAGTGTTTGAGGATTACCTTCCCGTCCTGGAGTTGGTATTAACAAGTTAAGGATGCAGTAACTGTGGTGAGAGTACATTTTATTTTCTCCATGAGAAGTGAATAGTCCCGTGAGAAAGGTTTTGAAACTTGGACCAATAATATTCAACAGGTATACTTAGCACAGGCTAATTTCCCACCAGGATTAAGCTTTTATTTCTAAAATTAGTATTTGGGAAAATAATTTATCATGCATGTTCCTGTGATTCACAGTCATATTGCTTCATCTTAGTATTAATCCTGGTGGCAAAGTGAGTGAATGCATTGCTAACCCAAAAGTCAATAGTTCAAACCCACCAAATGCTCAGGAGAAAGATGCCATAGGCAGCTTCTTCACTTTATGGAAAACACAATAAAGTAGTTCTGATTTGTCCTTTAGGGCTTCTATGAACCTGAGTCAACAGCAGTGGAATTTGTTTTGTTTTGCTTTGGGTTTTAAAAGCCTGATAAAGGCTAGGAAGAAATTTGAGATAATAGCCAGAGTGAATACATAACAGAGAATTTAAATGTGGTTGTTGTCCCTAAATTTAAGGCATCTGGACACTTATAGGTGGAGATGTCCAGAGGAAGCATGGGGTTAAATTCAAGAAACAGACCAGCCTTTTCAGGGATCTAGGAATTGTCAGGATTATATAGAAACAAAGCAGTGAAGACCCCTGTTGACACAATCTATAGCATATTGCACTACTAACCAAAAGGTGGCTTGCCCACAGTCGGTTTGAGATCATCATCTGCTGTACAGAGAAAAGGATGTTAACAGTTAACAGCTGCAGACTCAGTGGGGTGTTACTATGTGTGGGAACAGACTCACCAGCAGAGGGAGTGGGAATCAAAGTTAAGGAGCAGGGAAAGCAGACCCAACTGATGCCAGTTCCCAAGTGCGTGAAGGATGAGAAATCAAGAAAGAAGATCTAAATCATAGCGAAAGAGGAACACATATGGAAAATATTGTGGCCAGGATGTCAAGTAGAAAGACCACTGAAGTATATGATAACTGAGAAAAGAAAGGGACAGAATAGAGCTGTCATCTAATTGATTCCTGCTCTTGGTGACTCCAAATGTTGTAGTGTAGAAGAGAATAAATGCTATTGGCTTCTCAGGTCTGTGATTTTCAGGCTTGAATCACTCACCCACACTTTGATTAATAGCCAAACACTTAACCATTTACCCCATTTGTGAATTCTAGGTGATTATTAACCACTTGACATAGACAAGGTAGACTTGGCTGGCTGGCTGGCTGGCTGGCTTCCACTGGGAATTAATTTCTATTGAAGGCGAGGAAGAATATTTAAGTAACTTTATCCCCAGGGGGCATGGTCTCTACAGGAATTGCTGCATGTGTCAACATTAGAAGTGAGTACTGAAGGGGCCAGTGGTGACAGAGCAGAGATGGCACAGCACAGTCTTCTAATCTTGGGTGCAGCCACCTCTCCCAAGCATCTTCCTTTTAGAAATCACTGAAGTACTATTTAAAAAAAAAATAGAAAGCCAAACAAGCACTATTTCTTATAATTACAAATATAAGAGCCCAAATAAGCATAAGCAGTTATACCATTCTTAAACATTCATTAGCCACCTGCTGGTAACTATTATATGTGCCTTGGGTTTAAAACAGAGGGGACCCAACAAAGACTCTTCTGTGACTTGCAATCCTCATGGACTATAAAATAACCACTGGATTTTTTTACATTGTTAAGAAAACTATGATGTGCTCTGTGATATTTGGTGAAGGTTGTGTTGGGAGTACAACCTTCTCTGATTTTCTCTGATGCTGATTAAAGGACAACTCTTCACAGTTGTTGGTTTCCATTGTTGTTGATGTTGTGCGTCACTGAGTCAGAACTGACCTACAGCTAACCTTCCAGTGGGTTTTCAGAGGCAGTAAATCACTCTGGAAGAGATTGCTCATCCTTCTCCCATGAAGCAGCAGGTAGATTCAAACCTCACGTTTGGGGTTGCAGTGCAGCTTCTTACCACTAGGCCACCAGAGCTCCCTGATTTTCATTGGTGATGCTTTGCAAGCAGATCAACAGGTCTCATGCTGGATGTGACAGTGGTGGGTTCAGCTGGTAGTCAAAGGCTTATCTGTTGGCAAGTTCATCACAAAGACAATGAGAGCCTTGTGGAGTAAGAGCCTCATATAGAAGTAGTTACTTAGAAGGGGACAAGGACTATATAGGGACTTGATCTAAAGTTCACCTACCCTCCTCATAATCGAGTTGGAACCAATTTCTTTAGTGATTCACTCTTTAGAAATTTTTTGAGGCTCAAACTGCTCAAGGGAAGACTGCCCACCTTTTTCCTACTTGGTAGCTGGCAGATCCAAACTGACAGAGAGGCCACCTTTGGGTTAGCTGCTCAATTTCCCACAGACTACGCCACCAGAGTGTCCCAAAGTCCACTGGAATTGGATTATTTAGAAAATCACTCACTGATAAATGTATGGCTCAGATGTCGTCACATTTTCCAGAGATTGTGCACAATCCTCCAAAAACGGTAAAAATACCACGCAGAGGCTTCAATAATACGCAGAAACATCATCTCAGGAGTGTATTCCACAAGAAAGCCCAGGAGTTGTTCTCCACCTGGCCTCTGTGCCACCTGCACTCTGTGCCAAGCTGTGTCAACAGGGACCGACCCTTCCTCATGGGATCCGTCTGTGATTCATTCCCTCCTCTCTTCTTTCTTCTTATCCCCAAACTCTCTCATTTTCTGCTACTTTTTTTTTATAAACACATTTATGATAATTTTTATTGAGTACCATGCCTTAGTTCTGATATTATAATACAAAGTCATAATCAAAATAGAATTAGATTGTCTCCTTTATAATGACTACTGATTTTCTAAGAACTCCTTTACAGGAAAACATGTTAGCATTAAATATAATAAAATGTATTTGATTTGTTTGAGATTTCAAGAGTCCTTCCAGAATCCTCCATTGGCTGTATGATATATTTTTGTGATACATTTGAACTAAAAAAAAATAAAGATATACCACTTCGCTGGAAATTTACTGAAGGAAATCTGAGTTTCTCATTAAGGGTAATTGTAGAACTGTTTCTCTGCAGCATGGAAAAATATACTACTGTCATTAGTGTATTATTTTTGAAAGTATTTTTGATGTAATGTTGTAATGTTTGGTGAAAAAAAACCAACCAAAAAAACCCAACCCAATTTTCCTTGCCCAAATATCTTTTTGGAAGTACTGCCTGGCTGACAGAAAATTATCATATGAAATGCTTTAGGGAGTTCTGTATTTAAGAAGCCAATTTAGTTTGGCTTTCCCCAAATGTATGTTAGCATAGATGTCCTGTTTTATGTATCTCTCACCTATGAGGGTCCAAGGAATACGCTATGAAAAATGTGCTAGATATTTTGAAGTGTCAGCTAAATCATTCAGAGTTGTTGAAAAAGTAAATGTGAGAGCTTGTAAACTTTGCATAAAATCACACTACCCATCACATGTCTAATGGAAAGATTCATTATTTAGAAATCACTGAGGAAATGCTCGGGGTGAGCCATCACAGCCCTCTGCCCGGGGCAGGCTGTCTTCGGCCCTTGGCTCGGGGTGAGCCGTCATGGCCCTCAGGGTGAGCTCCTCAGTGCCCAGACTGTGCCATCTGTCCCCTGGGTAGGAAAAACAAATGCCTAGGGTATCCAGAGAATTTTATCTAGGCTACTTTCTGCCACCCTCTCCCCCAGTAAACCTGAAAGCAACA